GGTTTTCTTCTGGGTTTCAGACAGTTACGTGTCATGGGGCCAACTAGGCAAATGACAGGTCTGACGATTCCAAAACACGATAATGAGCATATTTTCAGCAAATAACCTTGGCAATCAAGTAAGTGTTTAAGTGTGTTATGGGACATACACCTTCCTTATTCACTGTTCCAGAAGCTCTAATCCTCAGACTGTAAGACATTGTAAGAACAAGCAAATTGCTTTAAAAAAATCACTCATATTCAATGGTACTCAACTGTTCTCATATTGACACACTGTGTAAATCACAGTCTTTACAGAACCTTTTTACAAAAGGGTTCCACTATTGGTTTGAGTCAAATAACCTTTTTTGGCACTATACTGAACCATTTTTACTAATAGTGCACTAAAAACACTGTTTCCCAGAGCTGATAGCTTTTAAAACCTCGACTGCTAATAAATCACTTTATGAGTCAAAATAGGGTAATTTTTGACAAATATTTAAAACAAATCATTTAGGGACTTAAAAAATGACTTCTTATGCTGATGACCATCAGGCTGGGTATTCAGGGCTCTAATGATTCTTTCTACCAGCATTTGTATCCCAGGCATGTCATATTGCTGCTCTTTTATGCAGTTTTCACAAAGAACAAAGGGCCTCATTTACTAACTGTTCTTAAGAAGAAATTTCTTCGTGAAATTCACCTTCACTGTTAGAAATGAAGGTTCTCTGCAGATACATTTTTTGTTCACCAAGGTACAAACAATGTAAATGTTCCCTCAAAGGTACAACAGTGGTTTTAAGGTCCAATTGTGTACCTTAAACAAGTTTTTTAAGTCCATCTTTTCATAACCTAATGTTTTAAAACAGAACAATAAAGACGAGATGAGGTGTGTGGAGTCAATACAATTTAGAAAATATAATTTCAGTGGACTACGGTACAATTATGTTCCCTGACTAAAGGTACTGAGATGTACCCTTGAGGGTTCCACCCCAGTAACAAGAAGGGTACTGCCCCAGTGACAGTTTCCTACCTTTTTTTCTGAGCGTGTACACAGTTCTTACATAGATTCTGACATTCACCAGCATTTTCTTATTTGGGATTTGTTCTTAGTTTTGTTCTTAGAGAATAATACTGCAGTTTCAGAACACATAGATAATCTGATGTAGACTTTTTCTTACCTTTCTTAAGAATAAAATTAAGGAAAAACGTAGGAAGACATTGGCAAATGATGCCCAAAGATTGTGACATTCACCAATGTTTTCTTATTCAGGATTTGTTCTTAGGTAAGAACAGAATCTACACACTCAAAAGCACAAAGGTGTGAACAGTTCTGCGGTTTAAGAACACGTCATGAATCTGACAGACTTTTTCTTAGGATCTTTCTCAAGAACACATTTAAGAACAAACTTAGGAAGATATTGGAGAATGAGGCCCAATGTTCTTACTCATGTAAAGTTTTTACTAAATGTTTTCATCCTTTAAAGAAACACCTGTCTTTTTTGGTACTGAAACATGCTTAATAGTGAACAAATTACTCTGGCCACAAAATTTGGCCACAAGACTATCAAGACTGTCAACCCCTGCAGTGATCAAAACCAGATCAAACATCCAGGCCTCAAACATTCCAATTACAATCAGAGCAGAAAATACATCACCTAAGATGACTTCACAACCATGACATACAGTACATCTGTGTGTGCATGAGTGGGTGTGAGTTTGTGTGGATCTGAAGATGCTGAAAAAGCTTGACAGCATGTCACTGAGCAGAATGAATCTAATGTCCCAAACTCAAGCCTAAGCGAGTCAACTGTGTTTGCTCCAAAACTGCCTCATAGCTTGAAAGTCATAAATAAACCTAAGAGTGTTACAGTCATCTTGTGCGTAAGTGTGGATGAAACACTTCAATAAAGCATACCCACTGGTTTCTGTGTCAGTGCCATAGAAAATAGTGCCAAAGAACTCTAACATACACACTTCTGTATACATTTCGTTTCCTTATTTTGAAACAGTTTGACCAACAAATTTCAAGATTTTTTCCTAGAAGTGCGTGGCACTGCTACAGGCAAATGGTGGTCACACCAGACACTACTGTGTGAATTCTGTTTGCCTGACCAACTTTGTTTTTTTGGTGGGGTTTCAGTAAAATCTTTTCAGTAAATATATTGCGTTTATGCTTTTATCGTTACCCAAACCAGTATCTTTTTGTGACTCCAGCTACATACTGTAGATTTCTGACTGCAACTTTAAGCCATTTCACCAATTAGTTTCTTGGCTTTCAAGTCAGACCCCTCTATAAAGCTTAAAGGAGAATTCCACCATTTTTTTATTTCTGCATAAATCAAATGTTGATATCTAATCAAAGTCATTCAGAGTGGTCGGCTGTGAAGTGCACTGTAAAAAAACTTGCCAACTCGAATCTCTTTACAGTGGTGGTTATAGAAACCAGGGGTTGGGATGTCTACAACAAAAATATAGCCATTTTATTTACTACTGAACCTACACTTGTGGTTTTATATAGGATGTTAATAATGGTGAAATAGTGGTAAATGTGTACTATTTAGCCTTACAGCTCCCTTCTTGTGCCTCTCCGCCATAAATGGGCTTTAAAGAAATATATTTCAGACCAAAATCACACAGCTAATAATAAACTCGTAAAACAATGTCTCAGGCTTGGAGCAAGATATTCGTAATCAGGCATCTGGTTCTCTGGTTAGCACCGCTGTGAATTGACAGATTCTGAAGTTTCTCCAGAATTACGCGTTTCACATCAAACCACTCTGGACGACTTTTATTTCTTAATGTTTCCATTTTGCAGAAATTTGGAAAAATCGGTGGAATTCCCCTTTTACAGCGAGTTGACACGAGCTGCTGTCCGTGGTGCTGAAAAACAGGTGCACCGCTAGCACGCTGTCGTTAAAGTGCTCCGTTTTTTTGTTCATCCACAGAAATGTGACAATATTACAATATTCTTGCGTTAGGAGCTACCAGCATTAACACACATACACACACACACACACACACACACACACACACACACACGCATTGTATTCCTTTCTAAGTGACGTATTTCCACTGACTAAACGCTGCTAGGCTACACCTTACCCAACCCTAACCTTAGCCTCAGCAACCAAATGCTCATCTTCTTCTTTTTGCAACAAAAAGCTACAAATTTACTATTAAAAAAATACATTTTCCTCCCGGGGACTAACCAAGTGCCCCCACACTGTCACATATTCTCACGTTTTCTCACCCCGTGGACATGTGGTCCTCATAAAGAGCTAAATACACGGCCATCAGCACACACCTGTTAAGGCTGTGTCATCACGGCAGGGCCCTGTCAGACTCATCAAGCCTATAGATGCGTAATGACGTCCAAGGGTCAGGAATAATAACTATCGCAGTCTGTTCATTTTTTCTCCACAGAAATGTTAAAATGCTCGTTCTTTCTGGAGCGAACACAGACGGTGAGACGAGAGCTCTGGTCCACAGGCGCCATTAACTAATCACTGGGCGTTGATGCGAGCGTCTCATCAGCAAGGTGAGGACGTGGATGCCTGAAGATCCGTTTCGAAGCGATTTTTTGGCGGACAAGGTCACCGGAGAGCGCGCGCGCCCGTCACGACATACCGAGCCTAGCATGTGCGAGCTTTTTGTTCGGCTCGGAGGTGTTTGGAGCTGAAGGAAATGGGTCTGCGTGTACCGTTTAAGGATGGAGGGGGGCAGGTGAGCCTTACCTTTACATCAGCGGCTTCATCAGCGGGAGGAGGAGGAGGAGGGGGGCGAAGCAGCTGGCGCCATGTTGACGTCTCGGTCCGTCCACAGCCTCGAGCGCACCGAAGTCATAAGCGCAAGGCCACGGTGCGCACGGCTTCTGCGCGAGCGTCGTATGAGGACGGAGCCGCTAGGGCCGCGCGCACCGATCCGCCAACTCCCCCTCCCCCCTCCCCACCCCAACCGCAAACACCAACCACTGCCGCTAGCAAAGCGAAGGGAACGCGCGCTGACAGGCAGGATTCACTCTGAGGGCTAAACTGGTGGCCGTGCAACGACGAACACGGCTCTGGGCGTGCCTTCCCACCGTCACGCGCGCGCGCACGCACGCATTCACGAATCACTTTAAAATTATCCAAGCAAAGCTACTTTCGTAGAATCGAACATTTGCCTTTTGTCAAGCGCTTATTTATTGGATTCCTCTTTTTCCCAGGCTGCCGCGGCTGGGTGTGGAGGGTGAGGAAGCGAAAGAGGAGGTGTAGGGAAGGAGGAGGAGGTGGGGGGGGGTCTTCATCGACACGCATTATCAATACGCCGCCATGACAGAGGCCGCAGAGTTTCTAATGCATCCAGGAAAAAACACTCGTTAAAGGCTGCATAGGCAACACAAAACGACCCCCGCCCCCCCTTTCAGCCTCTTATCAGCCAGATTCGACCACCGTCTCCATTCGCAACGGGATGGGGGAGGGAGGGGGCTAAACGTGCCCCTTATCCATTCACCACTTAGTACAGCCTTGAAAATGGAAAACAAAAAAGCCACATAAAGGTATAATCTGATGTATGACGTGTGACATCTAGTCTCTTTAATCTTAATCCGTTTAAACTACTCTCATCTGCCCACATAAGCTCCGTTACTACCCATTACACAGCCCCCCTTCAGCCTCCATATGCCAAATCAGGCTAATTCACTCTACTGGCCTCGCTATAAAAACACACCTGAGGTGTCAAGAAAAATGACGACGAAAGAGGAAAAAGGCAAATATGTCACGTTTTCCTGTCAGTATTTTTCTCTTGAGAACAGATTGATCAATCAGTGCTCGCGCGCTGTCGACTGAGGTGCTTTTTCTCTTTCTTTCTCCTTTTTTGAAGACACTTTTCTGCAAATGACCGAATAGCGAACTATAAAGAGGTAAACATGAGTAAATATCTCATTCATATATTGCCATCTTAAGCCCTGTCGTGTACATTTCCCATTCTGTCCTCCTGCGTTTCCAGACGTTTCTGTATGGATCTTTATTAGCTACTCACCATGGCCAAGCCTCTGCCTGCTCGAGCCTGAGTGACGGTCAATCCCGGTTAGCCCGTCTCACCTTCGGTTTCCACCGCTGTGTTCGGTCTTCCATACAGAAAATGAGTCAGAATGAAAGCCCGGCGGTTATTCCTGTCTCTGCGCGAACGGTAATTATCTTCGCCGAAAATGTCCCCTCAGCCGTCGCTCGTCTCGCCATGTAGCTCTCTCACCGACACAGGCGCTTCCGGTTGTTGGTGGCTGTGGTTGGTGGGAGGGACGCGCGGAGCGTCTGCGCGCCACCGTACCTTACACCCGCGCGCACGTGCAGCAGATATTGCATAAACAAGAAAATATCGCTATATTGATAGATGGCTCGGCTGGCCAGCTGACGGCTGAAACAGGCATCGACCATTTCACACCTGCGCTAAACGATATCAGCTCCTCTTTTAGTGCAGTGACGTGGTTCTGTGTTTGGTAGCAATATATCTGCGCCGTTAAGAGCCATTCTTTAGACTCCGCAGCTGCACGTACCTCATAGTAAACGTTATGCAGCACTATGTAGGCTTTCTAAAGGAGGCACATCGGAATGACACTGTTAAGACTGTAGTTGTTTGTAAATGTTAAACGTGCAAATAATCTCCTTTTTAAATATATCATATAGAAGAGCCATGTGGAGGCATTAACCAGATTTTTAGTGAGGCATGTTATTCAACGCATTACCTCATTGACTCCGGCCTCAACATTTCTGTTAGGTTAGGCTACGTGACGAAGAGGGGGAGGGGGGCGGAGGGGGGCACTGCTGTGTTGTGCAGTTGTCGTTTTTATTCGATTCATTAAGAAAAGTAGGGCTACAAGACTCCGGAGTATCAGATTCACCAGTAAGAGTCGTTGGCCACGCTGATGAGCATCAAGCTGTCCATTACCCATAAACAGCACCTGCGGCATGGGAGAGGCGCGTGAGAACACAGGGCAGTGCGAGGGCGCCCTCTGTCGACGGCAAACCTTCCATTAAAGATCACCTAGTCAGAGAGAGAGAGAGCGCAAGATAGAGGGAGATAGAGAAAAATACAGAGAGAGACAGAGACAGAGAGAGAGAGAGAGAGAGAGAGAGAGAGAGAGAGAGAGGGAGAGAGAGAGAGACCGAATAAGAGTGAGACAGCAAGAAAGAGAGAAACAGAAAGATAGAGCGACAGAGATAGAGCAAGAGAAGGGGAGAGGGAGAGAGAGAGCAATAAAGAGTGACAGAGAGACAGAAAAAGAGAGAGGGAGATAGAGAGAGAAACAGATAAAGAGAGACAGTGAGAGAAAGAAAAGGAGGGAGAGCAATGGAGAGTGACAGAGAGACAGAAAGAGAGCAAGAGAGAGATAGAGAAAAAACAGTGAGAGAAGGTAAAGGTGAGAGAGAGGGAGAGAGAGAAAGAGAGACAGAGCAAGAGAAGGAAAAGGTGAGAGAGAGGGGGAGAGAGAGAGAGAGTAACAGACACAGAGACAGCAAGAGAGAGAGAGACAGAGAGAGAAACAGAGGGAAAGAGAGAGACAGAATAAGAGAAAGCAAGAAAAAGAAACAGAGAAAAGCAATAGAGAGTAACAGAGAGACACAGAGACACCAAGAGAGAGAGAGAGCAAGAGAGAGAGAAACAGGAAAAGAGAGAGACAGAGCAAGATGCAGAAAGAAAAAACTGAGAGATGCAGAGAAAAAGAGACAGAATAAGAGAGAGACAACAAGAAAGAGAGACAGAAAGAGAAGCACAGGGAAAGAAAGAGAGAAACAGAGAAAGAGACATAACGAGAGAGAGATAGAGAGAGAGAGGGAGGGAGGGAGAGAGAGAGAGAGAGAGAGAGAAAACGAATAACATATTTCAGTATGTAAATGTATATGAGAGCCAAACGGATCTCAGTTCAGTTGCTGGTGAGGGATTTTAACTGCGATGTTTCCCAAAAAGTGTCCCGCTTTGGCTGAAATCACCCTCAACCGTCTCCGCATCTCGGGCAGCTTTCCAGCTCGCCTGGGTGAGAGATCCTCGCGGGCTGAAGGGTTTAATGAGCGCCGCTCGAGGACTGTCAAAACCGGGCCGATGCGTCACGCATCACCGAGGGCCTCGCGGCATCCACGCGCTCACCCGGAAAAAATCGCTGTAATGCAAGTAAATCACTGGGCTTTTCCGCGGTTTATGTTTTTTCTACTTTCCTTAACAGCAAAAATAGAAAAAAATCATCAGCTCTTTATTACAGTCGTGATGATGAACGAGGTGTTATGGTGTGTTAAGACACTCATCCACTGGGAGAAGCTACTGCTGAGCGGTCAGTCACTGTGGCTATCTGCTCTGCCTGACTGATGGGAGCCTTCAGCACAGAGCGGTTCAGTCTCAAATCGACTCCGAGTTGTGTGTAGCGTCCCTTGGTGAAGGGCAGGGTCAGTCCCTGGCCTCATAGAGGACCAGATCTGCAGCACTTAATGAAAAAAGTAAAGTTAAAAAAAGTAAAAAAAATAAAATAAAATAAATAAATAAATAAAGTTAATGATTGCTATGCTTACAAGTCCCCTTATTATAATACGGATGGAATAAACTAATTAAATACATTAGAAATAAAAATAAATCAAAAATTAAAATAACACATAGTACAAAATACAAAACCTAAATGCGGAAAGTCATAAATAATACATTTATTAAATATTATATTACGAATATTAAACATAATACTTACATAAATTCCAGCAAAAAATAATACATAATTCATACGTTTGTTATTTTTATTGTTATTTAATGTATTTACTGAGTCATTTATCACTTTACTTATTTTCTTATTTAAATTCCAGGTATAAGTTGTCTAAATGCTCATATACTATTGTTTATTGTGTAATTATTATATCACGTTACAGGCCGTTATATTCTCGTACTGAAGAGTGCATTAGTCTCCTGCCTTGTTTCTGTCATCGCGTTCCTTACGCCTTTAGGTGACCCTGAGTGTTTAGTGTTAAGTGTGGACGAGTTATAAAGCAGTTAATGAAGACAGAATTCTGAGGTAGTGTTTTGTTGCTGGTCACTCCTTCCTGAAAATATTACCTTCTGTCTGGAGTCCACATCTTGTATGAATCCTCTTTGCTGCAATCCTTTGAGGTCATTTTCTCTCTCCACTCTCTCTTCTTCTCTTCCAACTGTTTGGTTACACTTCATAATTCTATGACACTGTTTAGATAATTATATGTTATCAGGGATTAATAATACATTTTAGATGTGTTTACATTTGCTTTATACACAATATAATTCATGTTAAATTAAATTAAAATGTTTATACCTAATGCTAAGGATCGTTACCTTGTTAGCTGACTAGCTAACTTCAACCAGTAATTTAAATTAGGCTACCTTTCAGACTAGGAGGGCTCCTGCTAACATTAGCTTTCTGTAAGCATTACAAATTCAAAAAACGTACTGTTATATTTTACAGCTATACATTTTAGCTTTAGTCTCACCTGAAATCCAGCAGAAGTGTTCAGAAATACAGCGGGAACAGTAACTGAGGTCACCATCAATGGACAAAATCAGAGTTTGTCTCGTGCCCATCTTCAATGGGAGGCGCCAGAGAGCTCAGAAGTGGTGTCGTCAGAGAACTTGTAGAGAGCAGAATTACCACTCTGCAATGTCTTCCGGTTTTCTCAAACGCTAGGTGGCGCTCCCGAGCGAGTCCAAAATGAATGGGTTGATATGGAGCATTTGAGCAAAATCATAGTTTATAAACGCTTAAACATTTTTAATGTAACAGAATACAATCATTTCCTGAACACAGAACAGCATTAAACAATTTAACACCGCTGTTATATTTTTAAGAGCTTTTAATCTCGAGCTATAGGAGTTTAAAACGGCGCCTAATGTACATTCATGACGTCAGTGAGCGCGAACAGCCAATGAGCTGCTCCGCTCGCCAAACAATCATCACGCTCTAGCAGTAATGCCCGCCTTCTGCTGCCCAAAACCCGTTTGTTGTAGAAAAAAGGAAATGTATAGGTACGATTTCTTTGTTTTTTAGTGAAATAAATCCTTCTACTTTCTAAAATTAAATGAAAGTTCTGGGCGAGTGATTAGAAACTATTTTAACTTTTCGTTTTTCGTTGAGCGCAATTTACTCTCATTACTCCATGCCTTCATGACGTCAAGTGATTAGAAACTATTTTAACTTTTTTGTCTTTAGCCATTTAGCTCCATTCACCCCATTGAGGACGCTCAATTCATTGGTGCCCTCTGGCGTTTTGCAGTCCTGTTTTTAAAATAATAGGGAAAATAGGAAGTGGCCAGGCTTCTCATAAACTGTCTCTGCGGTTGTTCCCAGTGGGTGAAAATGAATAGACCACTGTAGTCATGCGTCATTCTGTAGTCTGTGTTGTGCCCATATTGGAAACTCCAGGTCTAAGCTTGAATGCTCTAAGGACAAAATAAATGGGGCTTTGAAAAAATCACCTCTGTTGCCCCCTGTGGGAAATAAAATTGTTCAGAACCCAATACATTTTGTCCTGTGTACATTTCTTCTCCTGAATATCACGGCATCCTTTGAATTACAAGATTGTAGAGTCAAAATATGAATACTGCAACATGCAAGCTAATGCTGCTGCACATCAATTTGATATTGCTAAGCTACACGATTGTAAGGCAGACTATGGCACTGTCCTGACCCGTTGTGCTACCTTGTCGAAATGTCCTACCATAGGGCATATTTATAGGTAACGCCGAACATAAAACTCAAGGTATACTGATAGCCTAGTATCTAGATTTAGATATTTTGACAGCCTAAATCTCCTTATCAAAAAAAAACTATCAGTCTTATAACTACGAGGCTGAAGTCAGTTTCCCATCTGCCAGCTTCTTGTTTGAATTTTCCAGTTCCACCTTAAATAGTGCAGCAGTTGTGATTAGCTATCACAAACATTAGCAAATGGGAAAAAAACAAAACAAAACATGTTACCCACTGACAGACCCAACAGAGCGACCTCCCTTTTAATGCCTTTCAACTCTGGAGAAAGCTGAAGTCAGCTTCTTATTCGCCAGCTTCTTTTTTGAATTTTCCAGTTCCACCTTAAATGGCGCAGCAGTAAATGTAACGTCTCAGGTGCCAGAATGTATCTGCCACACCATTTAAAATGGAAAGGGAAAATTTAAACAAGAAGCTGGAGAAATCAGAAAATGTTACCAGCATTAAAGGAATAATTAGGCTTAATAATAAGAATATTAAGCT